ATTTTATATCAGATGGTTTGTCAGGAAACATGCTGAGACTTCTGCCTCTGGGTCTGGGTGTTCTGAAAGGTTTTTAAGGTCTTTGCATCTCATGGAAAAAAAGTCCCTCGTGACCTGAAAGCTCGGCTTGTCGAGTCCTGAGAGTGTATATCTTGTGTCTTGTTTGTGAAATGCTTCCTGCTATAGAATAGCTCAAAGGACTGTACATATTTACAAGAAACTTTATATTCGTAAAAAACAAAAAAAAGGAAATCAAATCAGTTTCTACTTTTTTATTGTAAAGTGTGCATCTTTATTTTCAACCACCAGCCCTTTGTTTTAACGGTGGCTGGGGAAAGGCGTCTTCAGCTACTTGAAGGGGCCTCGCCCTCACCCTCCAGGAATCCCACGAAGAAATAATTGTAACGTTAAATTTGCAGGCGGAAGCTTGCTAGCATCAGTGAGGTTCTCGAGCATAACTACAATATAGAATTTGCCGTCACTACCTTTTAACGGTTGCAGAAAAGGTAAAGAAACAACAGGAGCAACTCACACTCCACCTGGAAAAGTATTGAACTTGTTGTTAACAATAATCAAATAAAAACAAAATTCACTTGGACTGGCATGGTGCAGTGACCTTTTCCTTCCTACAGGAGCAGCAGCATCTTAAGGCGGGTGGGAGAGCATATCTTCCATCGTTGTCTCCCAGAGCCTTTATAACTCACCACTGCCTTTTAAAAGGGGGGGATTTTTTTAAAAATTATATACTAACTTTCACTTGTCGTCTGCCATCCTGGAGGCCTGTCGTCAGACAGAAAGGTGGCGTTATAAATATTTCAAGTAGCAAGACTATAAATTGTCAGAAGTTACTCTGTGAGTGCTTGGCTTCCATGGTTGTTACCTGAAGTCACAGGGATGAGCTGAGCGTCCCAACCCTCTCCATTGCTGCAGGATAAAAGCTGCCAGGCCTTCTAGAACGCAGCAGCAGCAGTAATTGCTAAACTTCCAACTCTCCATCTTCAGTCCTGGAGTAAGCTATCCCGTCCCCATTAGGAAGCCAATCTGTCCATTTTTAAACATTGAGCAGCAGGTCAGCGGTCCCGGCAGACACACACGAGCCAATGGCTTCCCATAAACACCGTCCTAAAATAACAAAGGGGGAATAGTTCCTTGCCCTCTTCCTAGCAACAACACCCCTAAAGCTTCAAGTTTGTTTGTTTTTTAAAAGAAACAACTTATTGCCCATGTTAATTCAGACTGTACATCTCAAAACAAGTAACGCTTGGCAAGAGAATGCAAGTTCAGACTATAATGTAAATACTTCTATTTTTAAACGAAGCCAGTTTATACAGGGTCTGATGTATTCTTCTACAGGGATCGTGTGTGTCTATTACTAACTATCGGCTTTACAGGAACTGAAGTGTGTTTCCTGATGAGTTGTACACCTAACCTTTTCCCAGCCTGCTGTGGGTAGGTTACCAGTAAGCGATGCCCCCCCCCAGCCCCGCCCCAACCACCACCTTAACCACCACCTTTTGGTCTCCATATAGCTCATAGTGATGCTCTGCATAAACAAACAAACCAAACTGCTTTGACTTCTGTTGTGCCTAATCTTGAATGTATAAATGAACTGCAAGCTTGTTTACAAATGTTCCTTTATTTTTCTTTCAATGTGCACATAAATATACTTATTTAAGACTCACTGTTTCAGTCCTGTCGATAAGATTCATAATCAAACTGGGGGGTTTTTTTTTGGGGGGGGGACTGCTGGTGAACTAAACAAAGCAAGCATTCTCTTTCCTCTGCTCTCCCGCACTTAAAGCAATTGGGCTGCCCACCCTTTGTCCGCCATCTCTAGCTGTGCATAATTCTGCATTTTGCTCATGGTGGGGAGGAGCATGCAGGGTTTGAAGGCCTGCCCCCAAGCATTGCACATCTTCAGTTACTCACCTGACTTCTGAGATCTCATCTGCAAAGCCCCTGCCACACACACTTCCATATTTGAGGCTGTCAGGGCCAGAACTGGGAAGCTCGGTTTCTGGGGAAACTGAATTTTACATGACCGTACTGCATCATAGCAGTCATTCTCCCATTCCAAATTGCCTACCACAGCCTTCCACAAATGGTTATATTACATCTTCCACCACTGCTGACCACCAACTAAACTGACTAGGGCACAGATGAGAGGGACCCAGTTTGGGGAAGTTCTGTTCTAACAGGAGGGGGGCTCTTATCTACCTCCCCATGCCCCTGAAGCTAACGGAACTTTCTGAGAATACACTTGTGCTGTTGCTCAACTCCTGGTGAACACAGTTGTACTTCCTGCTAGTGGATGTGGTCTGCAACAGTGAAACGTCAAGGGCAACGAGTTGTGCTAGCTGTGCATAGAGCTGGCTGGGGTTGGGAGTTGCCGCCCAGCAGACTTTTCCCCTTAACCTAAAACTGGCCACTCACTTCCTTTATCTCCCCAGTTTTATATTTATAGTCACCAAAAATTGCAGGTGGGGAAGATTTCAGTCGTCTTGGGGAGGATTTCAAATGCAGCAAATCTCATGCCATTTATTAGGGCGAAAATATCACACAGATGTGCAATATTTGGTTTAGTTTATTAATTTTAAAAGTGTAAAAAAAATATGGGGGCAAAAAAAGCAGTAGATCTATTGAGTTCAGAAGAGCTTGGGATTATGTAAGAAAAAGGGTGTGTGTGTCTATATGAGAGAGAAATGTTATTAGGTATGGTGATTCAGCCTCTGCAAGAGCTGTTTATGCATGGATGCTTAAAATGGAGCCAGCAGAGAAGTTTTAATGTGAAAAGCTTGCTCATTATGACTTCTTAATTTGTCCTAATTAAATGTCGCTTTATACCTTTGACGCAGGGGTGGGGAACATGTGGCCCTGCAGATGTTGGACTTCAACTCTTATCTGCCCTTAATGGTTAACCTGATCCAGCATGGTTGAATTTACATTCTTAACTGACTTCAAAAGAGGATTAGACGAATTCGAGGAGGATTTGCCATAGTTACATGAGCCATAACAGATATAGTCTCCACTGTCAAGAGTTGGCATGCTTCTGTATGTTAGTTACAGGGAATCACAAGTAGAGAGAGGTAGTGCAGTGTTGTCTTCAGGTCCCGCTTGTGAACTTTGCAGCCAGAGAACAGGATGTTGGACTTGATAGACCTCTGGCCTCATCCAGCAAGGCTTTTTTGATGTTCTAAATGTCCCAGTAGTTGCTCATAAACCTAGCAGTTTTAGAGATGTCAGAGCGTAACAGCTGCTCTGCTTGGACTGCATCTAGTTTTGAATCCAGTTTCCCACTGTGACCAAATGAATGTCCTGTGAGAAACATAAAAGCCAGGACATAAAGGCAAAAGCATCCTGCCTCATCCTGGAGGCGGCTCTTGTGGCTAGTTGCTCTCTATACCCTTCTCCATGAATACTTCTAAACCCCTTTTAAAGTTTCTGCTTGGTGAAATAGTTAAATGTGCTGCAGGAAGAAGTTGTTTTGTGTCCTGAATCCCCCTACCCTCTTTTAGCTTCCTTGAATGACCCTTCAGCTTCTAGTGTTACGATTACAGGAAAAAAGCTTCTATCTATTTTCAACGTACCGTACATAGTTTTAAACATCTATAATATCCACCTGCCTTCCTTTATTTCTTTTTGCTAAGCTGAAACTCTTCAAATGCCACAACCTTTTCTGCCACTGTGTGTCTTTCTGCTACGGTATCTCAACCGGTCACACCATTGCTTTTGTACAACAGCATAATGATAGTGGCAGTCTTATTTTTCCCACCCTTTCTCTAGCAATACCTAGATGGAGTTTACATCCCGCCCCCCCAAAAAAAAACACTGCCCCATGCAGAGTTGACATTTCCACCAAGCTATCAGTTATAGCCTCCAGAACTCTCTTCTTGATCAGTCACTACAAGCACATATGTGTAGTTAGGAATTCGTTTTGCCCTAATCTGCATGACTCTGGACATTTGCTTCTTTGCCTGCCTGCTCCAAGAGCCTGATCTTTTCGATTAGCTCATCTTCCTCATCATAGTGAAAGTAACTAGAGCAGAGGGTGGGGAACCTCAGACGGGAGCCAAATACAGCCCTCCAGACCTGTGCAGTTTGCCCTCCAGTTTGTCCTTGAACGCTGATGATGTCTCTCCCTTGTTGATGGAGATTAGAGAGGGCTGTTTGAGTAGAGACTAGCCTACTGTACAAAGGTAGCATTTACATTTGTTGCTCCACCCAACTTTTGCCTCTGGCCCCACCTACCACCGACATGTGGCCCTCAGGCTGAAATAACTTAACCGTCCTGGAACAAGAGGGATCACAGGTTGAGAGGCTACTATATGTTGTTGTTGTTGTTTAGTCGTTTAGTCGTGTCCGACTCTTCGTGACCCCATGGACCAGAGCACGCCAGGCACTCCTGTCTTCCATTGCCTCCCGCAGTTTAGTCAAACTCATGCTGGTAGCTTCGAGAATACTATCCAACCATCTCGTCCTCTGTCGTCCCCTTCTCCTTGTGCCCTCCATCTTTCCCAACATCAGGGTCTTTTCCAGGGAGTCTTCTCTTCTCATGAGGTGGCCAGAGTATTGGAGTCTCAGCTTCAGGATCTGTCCTTCCAGTGAGCACTCAGGGCTGATTTCCTTCAGAATGGAGAGGTTTGATCTTCTTGCAGTCCATGGGACTCTCAAGAGTCTCCTCCAGCACCATAATTCAAAAGCATCAATTCTTCGGTGATCAGCCTTCTTTATGGAGGCTACTATATAGTGACCATTAAATTTTCCTGTAGAGTAGCTAACTTAGCTCCACTGCGAGACAATCATTTTGTTGACCTCCAGCACTTGGTAAACCCGACCATACAACCCCCACCCTCCACCTTTGTCTTGCCCTACCCAACAGGCATGTTCCTCTCACATATTGCAACAGGTCACAGGTGACAGTATGGGTTGCAACCTTTGCCGTAATGTCGGGAAGTTAACCTGTGTTCCTTTCAAGAAAGATGCAGAGGAAATGCTCACTCTTCATTATGTAAACTGATTTTATTTTCTTTTTAAAAAAACTGATTTCTGAAGAGAAAAAACAGCAAACAGAAGATTTTTTTAAAAAAAGCAGACGTGAAATACTGTTCTCAGCAGCAGTCTAGAGCAGGGATGGGAGCTTGGAGCCCCCCAGCTCCCATCTGTCCCAAACAGCTGGTCAGACTAGGTTAGGGATGAAGGCGGTTGCAGCCCAATGACACCTGGAGGAGCCACAGGTTAGCCAGCCCCTGTTCTAGAGTGCCTGTTCTACCTATACATCAGTTTCAGCTACTCAAAGCAATAAAACTGCCTGGTGGCCTCAAAAGATTGGTAAGGAATCAGAAGGGAAAAAAACCACACAGGGCTCGCTTGGCTAAGAAGGCACAAGCTGGTGCCACAGCAGGCTAGGGAGTGTGTGCACCTTGGTGTGACAGACAACACATTAATTGGCCTTTTTTGGGGGGGGGGGGAGACAAGCAGGCAGCTTATCTTTTATGGGAGGTGTAGCCCCTTGACGAGCCTCCTGCCACAAACAAGGGGAGGCTACAGCTGTTTGAGAGGAGAAGCATCCTGATTCCTTAGCGTAGAGACATGTGAAGGCCTGGGGTGCAAAGCCCACCTCCCCTAGCAACCCTGGAGCAGGGCAGCAATATTGCTTGGGAGTTCTAATCTTTGGAAAGGAAGGAGCCACATTTCTGAGCAAGCTATCCAAGAAGTTAGGGGGCTTGTAGGACCCAGAAAGGGTTGGTCCCGAAGCTTCACAGCAGTGTCCGACTCTTCTAGCCTCTTCGTAAGATCCTGCTGCCCACCGGACAGTGAAACCACCAACCTAAAGCCATCAGTCCAGCTGCAGTAAACTGAAAGATGTGCCAAGCATTTTCTGCTGGCAAGTAACCAAAGCTGGCTGCCTTTGCCAGTCATCTGAAACCTGGCAAGTCGCGCCCAGGTTACAAAAGGTGACTAGCGGGGAGGGCAGGGACGAACGAGAACGAAAAACAAAAAGTTATTTATAAGGGTATGCCCAGTTTGCTACAGAAGGAAGACACCTTCTCTTACACATATTGCTGTACGAAAAAAAGCAAAGCCACTTTGGGGACTTTGGACGATTGAAGGTGTCCATTCATTCCGAGTGCCCAGCTCAAAAATTCGTTTGTATTAACTCTGCAAACTAAATGCCCTTGGCGGCTTGTGCGTCTTCATAGATTCCCCCCCCGCCCCGCCCGCAATATTACAGGGCAACGAACCCCCTCAAAAACCCACGGCCTTGATTGGCAGCACAAGTGGGTTCCCGGTTGTGGGGCTAAAGAACATTCAAAGCAGGAGGGAGAGAAAGAGAGCAAGGCAAATTTGGGCTCTTTTTAAAAATATAAAGATATATATATATAAATATGCGTTACGATTCGACAGCAAGTCCGCTACTGTTTCAAAGAGCATACGCTTCTCATTTGTTCCCTCCGCTGCTCCATCGGCCTGGGCACCCAGCTCTGCTTTCATATGGGCTTATACAGCAGCGTAGTGACATATTTCTTCTTGTAACGGTGGGTAGCGCTGAGCACCATGACCCCGTCCTAGGAGAGAGTTGCGAAGAGAGGGAGATCAGAAGACGGAACCGTCTAAACACAGGCAGACAGCAACGACTTAAGCCGCCAACTTACCTTGATGGAAAGGGCATAGAGGTGATTCAGCATGACGTGATTCGGCTCGGGAAGCAGGGCAGGATCGCACTAAGAGGGCGACAAAGGAGAGTAGTTCAGGACACGGATGAGGAACCCTTTTTCAGCTCAAGGGCCACGTTCCCTCTCGAGGAGCCTGCCAGGGGCCACATGGCTGTTGCAGGTGGCACCAAAGTCAAGTGAGTGGAGCATCGCTGCATTCCAGCAATACACATGGGGCAGGTTTCTGCACCACTGTTGTCTCCACCCAACCAAGTCAGAGGCACTGTCGCAGTTCACAGACACATTCCAGCCAGGCATAGGCTTCTGAGGAAAGGGCAGAGTGAAGGTGTGGTTTGGGGGGAGACGAGCAATTTAAGGAGAGGGTGTGGCTAAGGGAGACTCCGAAGGGCCAGGTACACAGCCCCAGAGGTTTGCATTTGACCCCCAAGCACTGATTTAGAAGAGTCTGGATTTGATATCCCGCTTTATCACTACCCGAAGGAGTCTAAAAGCGGCTAACATTCTCCTTTTCCTTCCTCCCCCACAACAAACACTCTGTGAGGTGAGTGGGGCTGAGAGACTTCAGAGAAGTGTGACTGGCCCAAGGTCACCCAGCAGCTGCATGTGGAGGAGCGGGGACGCGAACCTGGTTCCCCAGATTACGAGACTACTGCTCTTAACCACTACACCGCACTGGCTCTCTTTAGGACTAAAAGGTAAAAGGACCCCTGACCATTAGGTCCAGTCGCGGACGACTCTGGGGTTGCGGCGCTCATCTTGCTCTATAGGTCGAGGGAGCCGGCGTTTGCCCGCAGACAGCTTCCGGGTCATGTGGCCAGCATGACTAAGCCGCTTCTGGCAAACCAGAGCACCACATGGAAACGCCATTTACCTTCCCACTGGAGTGGTACCTATTTATCTACTTGCACTTGACATGCTTTCAAACTGCCAGGTGGGCAGGAGCTGGGACCGAACAATGGGAGCTCACCCCGTCGTGGAGATTCAAACTGCCGACCTTCTGATCAGCAAGCCCTAGGCTCTGTGATTTAGACCACAGTGCCACCCGCATCCCGATTTAGGACTAGGGCTGGGCAATATCTGGTTTTCAGCATCGTGATTATCGCCAGCAAAGCATTGTGATATACCAATATATCACAATATCTGAAATAAGGATTGGCGCTATGTAGAGGCTTCACGGTCTTCCCCGCATCGTGATTTTTGCCGGCACCTGCTCTTGTGATTCGCCTGCCCCCAGCACGAGGCAGTGGAGCAGAGTTAATGCGCTGCAGGAATCAAGAGAAACATTGGCTGGTTCCATGGTTTTCCCCACATTGTGATTTGTGCATAGCACACACACACATTGTGATTTGCGATATATTGCCAGGTCAAAAATTATGAAACCGATATCCCAATATGGACTTCAAACCACTTTTGGACAATATGTCGCCTAGCCCTATTTAGAACTTTGAATGCAAAATCAGGAAAGCCACTAGGGGCCACCAGAGGACCCTTGTACATCTACCAAATACATTTTTTTTGTAGCATGAAAGAAACTTTCCATTCCTGTGGAAGCTTCTGAAATGCAAACCCAAGCATGACCAGTTTATTAAGAAAACAGGATGCAAGGTGGGGCAAGGCTTATTATTATTATTATTATTAATAATTATTATATTTGTATACCATCTCCCTTCCATGTGTAAATCTGAGGGCAGTTCACAGCATAAAAATACAAGATAAAAACACATAATAAGAAAAAAAGAAACCAATAACCCTCCTCGCCAGGTTAAGTCAAACAATTCAGAGTTTCAGTCTCACTGTGCCACCTCTGTTTTCAAATGGAGAATCCCCACATAAAAACTGCCCAAAGCTGGTAAGGACACACCAGCTTACACAGTGAATTTGATTTGGGGGGAAAGCGGGGGCTTGCTTCTATCTTCACGTTTCTCTACTCACCGAAATCCCAGTGTCTTTGTTTAGGATAACCTGCAGGAGGTGCGGAGGAAGAATAGGGGGGGACTTGAAGCGCTCTTCAGGCTTACAGATGTAGGGTTCCTGGTGGTAGGGTCCGGGGGGTGAACTCGACAGCTCTGCTCAGGGAGGAGAGGGGAGAGAGAGGGGAGGTTCCTGTGGTTAACCTTGGTCTATTTGGGAGAAAGCACTTCTAAACAATTTCCCATTTCAGCCGTGGTCTTGAATCCCCAAAGGTTTCCTTACTTGATTTCTACACTTTACCACTGAATGCCATTTATTCAGCAAACTTTACTGCCTGTTTGCCCATTTGAGAGAGATCCTTTTGGCACTCTCTGCAATGCCTTTTTCAACAACAAAAATCATTATCATTGTTGAATTTATTGCCCATCCTTCACCACCAGGTCCCAGGGAGGGCTACGAGAATTTAAAACTTGGTATTAAAAACAGTTAAAAGGTTTAGAATGTAACTGATCAACATCTGTATAGCTAGATCATTTCTTCTAGCTCATCCATGGGATGTTCCAAGACAGCAGAACAACATTTCGGCAAATAATATATTATGCCTTTAATTCTGGATGCTGCTGCTGTTCTTACCATCCTGGACAATTTGGTACCCTCAGGAAACTTCGCTACCTCACTGCTCACATCTAACGCCAGGCCAAGTTTAAAAAGCACAGGGCCCAATACCAATTCCAGTGAGGAGGACACTTTTTACACCTCTCCACTGTGAGATATGTCCATTTATTCCTATCTGGTGCTTTCCGTTCTTTGATCCATAAGGGATCTTATCTCACGATTGCTAAGCTTACTCGAGAGTCCTTGCTGAAGAACTGTTCGAGACTCTTAAGTGCACAATGTCTGCTCGATCACCACTTTCCGTGTGGTTACTGACACTCTCAATAATGTGCCGGGAGGAACAAAGTCCTCCAGGATTAACTGTGCATTCAGACCATCCCCACTGCCATGAAACAAATAGTGTTCAATGATGTCACTTCTGCAAAATGCACAGCTAGACACTAAACCCTGGACCAAGGCAACACAGCACCCCCAACCATGGAGAAGCACGACACCAAGATACCTACCAGATACATCTGAGGACTTTTGGGAGTCCACCATTAAAGCATCAAATACTTCAAAGTCTGTTTTCTTCACCTGGATGACGTTGTTGACTGTCCCCAGCTGGCTGGTTACTACAGGCTAGGAAGAAAACCAAGGGGCAGCTTGTAAATCGCTTTGGGGTGCCTCATGGGAAGAGATTGGAGGGGAAGGAGAAGGAACAGAATATAGACCAGCAAAGCTCTACTTTGCATCTCCAAAATAGGCTCCACCCCATAGCTTTTGGGAACCTCCAGATTGTTAGACTCCAGCTCCCATCAGCCCCGGTCAGAGTGGCCAATGGTCAGGGATGATGTTAGCAACACCTGGAGGGGTACAGGCTCCCCATCCATGACCAAATCTCAGGCCTTCCCATGGGAAGGATGTAGGAAGATTTTTTAAAAAAGGAGAAGTCTTCGGCTGAGTGTCTGACCAACGGCAGGTGCCCCACTGGTTCATTACAGAAAGAAGTCAGTTGTCAAAATTGATTTGCGCATGGATATACGTGACTTTATGCTGCTACGTCAAGTGATGGCCTACATATGTAAAAGGGCCACCACCTTTGATGTGAACTATCATCCCTAAAACAACATGCTTTCCAATGCACCCGGCATTTCGCATGTTCATCTGCCAGCCACCAATCACGGAGAAATTAAAGAAGGCGGAGGCATGGATGCATGAACCAGCCCTTCATGATGGCCAAGTAAGACGATTGAAAAAGTCAATATTACCTCTGCAGGATCATGTGTCCATTGACCATCCACATAAAACTTGTATTGGTGTTCGCCTTCTGGGAGATCGAGAATTGCTACAAAGTTATTGTGGCTATAAATGAGAGAGGGAGGGGATTAAAAAGAGAAAGAGAGAGAGAGAGAGAGAGAGAGAGAGGGAGGGGATACAATTAATCCTTTACCGTAGAAAGTGAGTCAGCTAAATAATAAATAAAAAAAATAATAATTAAATAATAATGAATCTGAAGAGTGGTCCAATCAGAAGGACAATTTTTGCCTCTTCCCATTCTGCAGACAACCCACCCCAATATACTGGAATGAAACACACAGTACCATCCTGCCCACCAAAAGCAAAACCCCAACAGCTCTTTGTGAGTGCGATTGTAGGCCGCTCTTGCTTAGAGGCTGGGGATTTGCAGCGATGTTTTGTTGCAAGACTGGCTCCCCATGCCCATAAAGGTGAGCTGCTCTTGAAAATGAGCATTGGCTTCACCACCAGTATTTGATAACAGCATGGCACCAAGCTCAGCCCACTTTTCCTGCTCTTGTAGGAAACTGCAGTAAGGATAGACACTGTAAATACCCTTTAAAACATATTGGGCATCCTCACCAAGACAGCAAACAAAGGTAGCCCAGACCAAGCCACAAAGATGCTCACCTCCGCGTCAGTGGAAGTTTGCTCCAGTTGTTAAAAGAGCCAGACAGAAAGACCTCTTTGCCTCCTCCGGTCCAGCGAAAAACAGTTGGCCGAGCTTGTGTAGGAGCCTTATCATTCACCTCGACGTCATGCTGCCAGGCCAGGAATTCTTCTTTTTCCTTGCCAAGCTGCGTAGGACAGGGAGGGAGGAATATGTGGTGTAATGGCCAAGTCTTGGTAAAAATTCGGTTCCTCAATCTGTTTTAGGTTAAGTGGCTAAGGGGTGGGTCATTTAGGGTCCACTTGCATAGCTGGATTTCTCCTTCCTATCCCTTCTCCAGGCACTCCCAAAATCTTATCCATAGGATCCCACAATCTTCTGAAGCAGACCTTTGCTCCATTGGGCCTACATACCATTATCTGACCGCCTCCTAGCAGAGGGTGAAGGAGGTGGAAACAGACATTCAAATGACTCAGCGTTTGCCTAGGTCTGACTTGGAGGGGACCCACTGAAATTAACAGATCCAAGTTAGGTATGTCTAGTGCTTTCAGTGGGTCTGTTCTGAGTGGTACTAACGCTTGATGTAACCCAATGGCCAATTCCCCCTCTCTAAAAAGAGAAACAACCAACTGGCTGCTGGAGCTTCTGCAAGAGTAAACTGGCGCCTGTCTCACATCCTTCAAAATGGCAGCATGAACCCTTTTACTCGGCTTTCCCAGTGAATGAGGGCGAACGCCTGAGGTCACATACCTTTATTTCCTCGGCGTGGAACATGTCGGCGTCTTCAGGGCTGTCCATCAAGATCTTCGGCCGGTCTCCATCCTTTGTTCCTCCGCTATCTCTCCGAGGTGTCTTGTGGCTCCCTTGACGCTCCACACCAGCCCGCTCACTGCTCGTGTTCCCCATTGCTCTTCAGATCCCAAAGAGAAAGACAGCCACAAATCTCTGCAACAAATCAGGTGCCGGAGAAACCAGAGGCTGTTCAGTCGGCATAAACAAACAGCCCAGCTCACAATCTAATAAGCAATGGGCAGGAGAATGACAAGCTGGTGGTGAAAATGAGCCAGTGTGGTTTACTGCTGGCTTTTGACTGCAGAGATCTGGTTTGAAAGCCCTGCTGAGCTACAAAGTCCACTATATGTGTTGTTTGATTGGTTTACTGTCTCTTGTTTGTTTGTTCCTGTCTTGAAGCCAATGATGCCATTTGGGTGGGGATGAACACCAGGCACACAAGGCTTGTGTCCTGTAGAGACAGAAGCTTAGAACCTGTGTGGTGTCACAATTAAAGTGCCTGAGAGACCTGGGTTCAAATCCCCACTCAGCCAGGAAGTTCAATAGTTGACCTTGATTCACTCCCCATCCGTCCCAGCCTAAACTACTTCACAGGGCTACTGAAAGGCGAGAATAGGGAAGGGAGCAAAAAGGCCCTTGGCTAATTGGTGGAAGGATGGAATAAAAAATAAAAATGGAATGAGGTGAAAGCATAGAAGGTCCCTAGAAGCATCTCCAGCTGAAAGGAGCAACATCTGCCATGAAGATCACTAGATGACCTTGGGTCACATTCTCAACCTAATCTCCCTCACAGGGTTGTTGTGAAGATAAAATAGAATCTGCAACCTGTGCTTCTCAGAAGGCCAAGCAAGACAAATATATTCTTTTTAACTGTCATCTGCCCCAGTTGCAACAAAGCATGTCTGTCCCTTATCAATCTCTACTGCCACAACAGGCACTGTAACCTTCCAATAGTTTGACTTCACCCACAAAGGCACACTCCTCCATTGTCTCCCGAGACAGACGGATGCCAGCAAAATATTCAGCCTTTTCTCTAAGAAGCTAAAGATAGCATAATGGTTCTCCCATCTCTTGTGAGATAGGTGAGCCTGCGTGTGTATGACTGGACCAAGATCACACAACAATCTATATCTTCCAAATGAGGAAAACACTTCACCTGGGTCCCAACAAAGTGCGCTCTACTAAATAAAGCTATTAAGCTTTAAACATGCACAACTCAAAAAAACCCGGGAACCTGAACATTTGGAAGATTCAGGACAGACAAACAGGAAGTCCTTCTTCACACAGCATCTAATTCATCTGCGAAATTAGCTGCCACAGGATGTAGTGACAGTAACGAACTTGGACAGCTTTAAAAGAGAATTCAACAAATTCATGGGGGATAAGGCTTCTACTCTAGATGGCTGCTAGCCTCTACTGTCAGAGGCAGTAAACACCTCTGCATGCCAGCTGCTGTGAATCGCAGGTGGGCAGAGTGCTAGTGTACTCAGGGAAAGCTTCCCTTTGGGCCAGTGTGAGAACAGGATGCTGGAACCAGACGAGTCCCTTTCACTTGATCCAGCAAGGCTCTCTCACCTGCTGTGAGTTGTGTTCAAGCTGTGACTTGTCCTTCAGGACCCTCCCTCCCCAGTAACATATGCAACCCCTAAGTACCACCAGTCAAGAGGACATCCAGCAGAAGATGCATAGAATCATAGAACTGGAAGGGACCACAAGGGTCATCTAATCCAACCCCCTGCAACGCAGGAATCTTTTGCCCAATGTGTGGGGCTCAAACCCATGCCTTAGCATCTGGTTGGCTTCTCTGAGAACAGGATGCTGTCGGCTTGACCCAGTACGGCTCTCACGTTTTTATACCACAAAAGGACTGGCATAGCTACAACTGTTGAAGGTTTAGCTCAAGTTGTGAATGACTCACCCTTTGACACCCCCCACCCACCCACCTCCCGCCCCTAATATTTGCAACTATTTAAATATCCCCACTTATAAAAAGGATATCCAGCAGGAAAGGAAAGGAAAGACCCCTCTGTGCCAAAGACTCCAGAGAGCCACTGTTGGTGGAACTATAAAACACTGGGCTAAAGGGACGAATAATCTGATCCAGTTCGAGGCAGTTCCTAATATAGCTAACATATAAATTCAAATCTAACATATAAATTCAAATAGTGATGTATGGAAGTGAGAGCTGGACCATAAAGAAGGCTGATCGCCGAAGAATTGATGCTTTTGAGTTATGGTGCTGGAGGAGACTCTTGAGAGTCCCATGGACTGCAAGAAGATCAAACCTCTCCATTCTGAAGGAAATCAGGACAGATCCTGAAGCTGAGACTCCAATACTCTGGCCACCTCATGAGAAGAGAAGACTCCCTGGAAAAGACCCTGATGTTGGGAAAGATGGAGGGCACAAGGAGAAGGGGACGACAGAGGACGAGATGGTTGGATAGTATTCTCGAAGCTACCAGCATGAGTTTGACTAAACTGCGGGAGGCAGTGGAAGACAGGCGTGCCTGGCGTGCTCTGGTCCATGGGGTCACGAAGAGTCGGACACGACTGAACGACTAAATAACAACATAAATTCAAAGTCTGAGAGGCAAGTGGCACCGGATGTGCGCGAAGAACCTTCCTTTCACCTCTAGCGCTGCGCAGGGAAATGGGCTTTTCAAAAGGCTCGCTTGGTGACCTTGGGCCAGTCCCCTCCTCTCAGCCTGGACCTTCCTCGCATTAAACAGCAACACTCGCGTGCTAAACAGCAGGCAAAGAATTATCCTCTGCACATGCTCAGGAGCCCGGTGCTCTCCTGCTCGGGGGGGGGAAGGTTCCGGGGCTCAAGCAGCCTCTTTGTGCCGTGGACCGAGGAGGGACTCGCCGCAGCGCCCGCCCGCTTCCTTTTCACTCACCTGCAAGCGGCTCCGCGACTCTCTTCTCGGGGTCCCCGGGCAACAGCCGTTCTCGCCACTTCCGGTTTCTCCCCGGCCGCCTGAGAAACAACTTCCGGTCTCGGGGAGATCCTGGCGGCGCAGCTGAACTCGAGTTCTTACTGCACATGCGGGTGCGCGAAGCAGGCAGGAGGCGGGGCGGGGCGGGAGCTTGCCGGAATTTAAAGGGGCCGCGTCGCCTTTTTACCTTCTGCTCCGGCGGCGAGAGTTCTAGGAAGCGTCACTCGCCCCCAAGTCTCATCGTCTAGTTTGTTCCCAGCCCCGCGCCGCCCAACAGACTCCTGGAAATGGATGAGGAATCTAAATGGTTAGAAGGAAGGAAATTGCACTCCGTACATGCTCAGAGGCTCCCTCTGTACGCGCTCAGAGGCTGCCAGCCCATACATGTGCTTATTCAGAAGTAAAATAGCAAAAATAAAAATAAAACCTTGTGTGACACCCTTAAGTAGAGGTGGGGAACCTGTGGCCCTTTGGGTATAATTAAATTACTTCCACCATCACCACCCATTGTTGATCATTGGTCAGATGTTTATAGGTGACGACAAGTGCTACAGACTGACAAAACCTAGAAGCCCACAGGTACCCAACTCCTGCCTGCTCTGGTAGCAAAATTAGTTATTTATTTCATTAAAAAGATTCCATACTACTGGATTGTAACAAACCTCAAAGCAGTTTGCATGAAGAATAGAAAAATAAAATGATCAGTGAAAACAATCAAAACATTCAGAAAAGTATGATCAGCAATAAGCTTAAAAAACCCCCCCCACACATCAGCATTTTACATATCTGAGTGCAGTGAAGCACCTGCCTGATACCAACAGGCAGGAAGTTCCAAAGTGTAGGTGCTGCCACACTGAAAGGCTGATTTCTTACAGATACCGAACCTATATTATGTGGCACCTGTAACAGTGCCAGTTCCACCCATTGAAGCGGTCGAGAGAGCATATATAGAGTAAGTTACAGGGAACCAGGCAGAGGCCTTCTCGGTAGTGGCGCCTGCCCTGTGGAACACCCTCCCACCAGATGTCAAAGAGAAAAATAACTACCAAACTTTTAGAAGACATCTAAAGACAGCCCTGTTTAGGGAAGCTTTTAATGTTTAATAGGTTATTGTATTTTAGTGTTTTGTTGGAAGCCGCTCAGAGTGGCTAGGGGGACCCAGCCAGATGGGTGGGGTATAAATAATAAATTATTATTATTATTATTATTATTATTATTATTATTATTATTATATCTTGGGAGTAAACTGGCCCCAAGCTGTGGATTTGGATGCTAATAGTCACACCTTGAACCTTAAACCATGACTTGTCTTAAATAAAATACAGTGGTACCTCTGGTTACAAATGTATTTGGAATGATGCTTCAAGACTCTTGCGGGGATGAGGAACATCTGTGGCCCCGCAGGGGTTGCTGGACTTCATCACCCCTGCCCATTCGCCATGCTTGCCAGGGCTGATGGGAACTGGGGTCCAACAACATTTGGAGATTGGGGGGTACAGGTTCCCCATCCTTGTATTTGGAGTTTTGGTGCAACGGACTGTTTAGCAATAGGCACCAACACACTCAGTGGATCTGATTCAGTGGACTGCAATCCGCAGAAACATGTTCCATACCACAGCCTTCCACAACCTGGTGCCCTCCAGTTTGGACCTCAGTTCTCATTAGCCCAGTTTGGCGTGTTAACAGAGGAATCTGAGGGCTCCCTTGGACAAAAAGACAAAAACAATTTGGACAATTTGGAGCAAAACAGCAGCCTGTAGGCTTGGCCTTTACTGAAAACTGTCGCGACAGGACTCCCACCCACAACAAGATGAAGCAAGATGGAAGTCCCGAACAAAAGAAGACCCCAACTTTTATTAGCTACTAATCCCCCAAGCTACACCCCTAGAACTACATCACAACTACATCATGACTACATCATTGACACATCACAAAAAGGAGGGGTTGAGGGAGGGGTTGTGGAAGTAACCTGAGTATCTTGTCACCTGGCTAGTTCCTCCTTTCCCCCTCCCCATGAGTCATTTCTAGAGGACAAAGGGGAGCTGGCAGTTTCCTGCCCCCAGAGGGAAGATCTGATCATTGTCCTTTGTTCCAGTCCCTGTTGAATCCACTCCCATATGAAAGTCCGTTGTGTCCTTGATGGTCTTCTGTCTGGGACCATCAAGGTTGCCATGCCAACTGGGCAGGGCTCCTGAGTATGTGTTGGTACGGTTAAGGGATTATGGCCGTCCTGTATCAAACCGTCCCCCTTTGATAGTCCTTCCTTCATGGAGCAAAATAAAAGTGGACCGGTGTACATCCGATGTACGGTTGATTTACTATGAATTTATAACAGAAACTTCGCATATGTCGTGTGTGAGTGTGTGTGTGTCGTGTTTGTACAAACTGAATGATTGGGGGGGGTTCCTGCAACAGGATATAGGCATGTACTCAGCCCAGTGGCGTAGTGTGGGGGGTGCAGGGGGGGCCGGCCGCACCGGGCGCAACATCTGGGGGGGCGCACTCGCACTCGCAGCTCTCTGCCCCTACCTGGCTCACTCACTCTCTCTCACTGCAGTGCTGGCTGTGCGAATCCGATCCGAGCCGCTGGGTTGCCGCCCTCTGTGGAGGGGGTGGGTGCCAGGCGTGTGGTGCGGAGAGAGAGCGAGGGACTATCTGGGGGTGGGACAGTGCAGCGGCCGCCCAGCGCAGCGCTGAGCGCGGGAGAGAACCACACCAGAGCAGCCCAGGCAGCAGCAAGAAGAAGCTGGCAGCGGTGGCAGGTTAGGGGGCGCAAATTACTTGCCTTGCCCCGGGTTAGTGGGCGCAAATTACTTGCCTTGCCCCGGGTGCTGACAACCCACGCTACGCTGCTGACTCAGCCCCTCATAATGTCCATTCTTCTGATCTGGTCCGCCCTTGGATCTCTTCCCCATTCCCTTAGCCCTCCTACCCTCCAACTGACTGTCATGACCCATGACATTGCACGGGGTTGGACTAGATGATCCTTGGGGTCCCACCCAGCTCCACAGTTCTAGAACCCAGATACCATGCAATAAGCTCAGAAGCTGGCAAGATGGGTGCCGTTGTCCCTGGGGGAAGAGCTGCCCGGGCTGCCTTCTGAATCATCCCACCTGGAAGACACAGGCTTACCATCCTCTGATTCCCAGCCCTACAGGAACCAAAGACTGCTGAATAAGGCAAGGGCCCTTTAACAGACAGCTGGCTCCTCTGGAGGAGGCGGAGCTCACTGAACTACTGGTCCTGGTCAAGGTATATAAGGCTTCAGTTGGCTTCACCTTTGCAGAAGCAGCAGTTCTTAAGGCTACATAGGAGGGCTCTGGGAGTTCCTGACAGGACAACTGCTGGACTTCCCTTGTGGTCTTATGGAAGAGGCACTGACCTGCTCTGTTTTTTTTAGTTATCAGGTTGCAGGCGAGCCTGTTTTGTTGGGGAAAGCAACTGTCTACTGGATCAATCCAAATAGATACCTAACCTAGTTGCTGAGACTTGGTAGGGTGGAAGATGGGGAGGCCAGCAGTAGGTGGCGCCAGAGCCAATGACAGGCAGGGCTGACTAATTCTAATTTTTGCCTTCATCTTCCTCCTGTTATGAGGACTTAAGAAGGCAGGTGTGGAGCAGCTGAGGGCAGACAGGTTGGTGGGGCAGTGCCCCACTAGCCCTAATAGACAAGTTTTTCCTGAGATGGCCCTGGGCTGCTGCTTGAGAACTGTGACAGCGCTTCCAAGATTAGATGGCCCAATACAAAAGCAGAGTATATGCATGTTGTACCAGGGCTGCAAGCTGACACCTTGGATAAGCCCTGGAAGTCTCTGATGGCTGTTTAAATACAAGCTGTTCCTCCTCTCCGCTCTACTCAGTTTAACAACTTCCCAAGCGTCGGGATGATATTTCACCCCCTAAATGCCTTGGCGGTGCAGCTGAGCAGCATAGGAGGACCCTTGTGGAGCAAGGAAGGAGCAGGGTGGCCTTTCTTAGCGGAGGGCCGAAGTTCTGCAAGTGCAATTGGCTCTCTGCCGCTTGAGATAACGTATTTTTTGCTCTATAAGACTCACTTTTTCCCTCCTAAAAAGTAAGGGGAAATGTGTGTGCGTCTTATGGAGCGAATGTAGGCTGCACAGCTATCACAGTAGCTAGAACAGCAAGAGGGATTGCTGCTTTCACTGCGCAGCAATCCCTCTTGCTGTTCTGGCTTCTGAGATTCAGAATATTTTTTTTCTTGTTTTCCTCCTCCAAAAACTAGGTGCGTCTTGTGGTCTGGTGCGTCTTATAGAGCGAAAAATACGGTAACTGAGGACTTCCGAAGTTGCTCACATTCAACAGATAGCCAAGGGATAGGTCAGTGGTAGGGCTGTGGCTAAATCTTTCCTCCAGATTACCAAAGATTTCCTTCCTCTGCAAAAGGGGCTTCCATTTTCCTTTTCTAGGGGCACCAAGCGTGAGTGCGTTCACATTTCTGTCCCGGTTGGTTTAGTTTAGGGACCGGTTTCTAAAGGGGAGTGCTGAGATTTACCAGGGCAATTCAACATTCGAAGGAATGTTCGTGTTTATAGAGAGCCAGTGTGGTGTAGTTGCTAGAGTGTTGGACTAGGACCTGGCATAGGTCAGGGTTCGAATCCCCACTCAGCCATGTGAACTTTCGTGGGCAACCTCAGGCCATTCACTATCTCTTAGACCAGCCTACTTCACAGGCCTGTTGTGAGAATAGAGCGGAGAGGGGGAAATCCCACAAAATACACCCCCTTGAGCTCCTTGGAGGAAAGATAGTTTGTAAACAAAATGAATGAAGGTTTTTAAGCAGAGGTTGGGTGGCCCTCTGTCATGGTTGCTTTAGATAAGATTCCTGCATTGCAGAGTTGCTGGATGAGAGTACCCTTGGGGTTCCTTCTGTACAATTCTATGATTCTATGAATGAATGAGGGACGCGGGTGGCGCTGTGGGTTAAACCACAGAGCCTAGGACTTGCCGATCAGAAGGTTGGCGGTTCGAATCCCTGCGATGGGGTGAGCTTCCGTTGTTCGGTCCCAGCTCCTGCCAACCTAGCAGTTCGAAAGCATGTCAAAGTGCAAGTAGATAATAGGTACCGCTCTGGCGGGAAGGTAAACGGCGTTTCC